CTTATGTAAATGAATGGTGAAACAAGGTTTAGGGGAGATAACAAAAACAAAATTTGTTAAGAACTACAAAGAACAGGAAAATGTGGAGAGCCATGATTGTCAACATTGTTAAGGGACATGGTACATAGTAGAAGATATTAAAGTAGAATAAACCCTATAAGAAGCACTTAATTGTAATAAAATACACTTTCTATATTACAAGTGAATAAATTTTACAAGAAATTCTTATTTTTCATAAAATACACTTTTTATATTACAAGTGAATAAATCCTACAAAAAATTCTTATTTTTCATAAAATACACTTTTTATATTACAATTGAATAAATCCTATAAAAAATTCTTATTTTTCATAAAATACACTTTTTATATTACAGTTGAATAAATCCTACAAGAAATTCTTATTTTTCATAAAATACACTTTTTATATTACAATTGAATAAATCCTACAAGAAATTCTTATTTTTCATAAAATACACTTTTTATATTACAATTGAATAAATCCTACAAGAAATTCTTATTTTTCATAAAATACACTTTCTATATTTCAATACAATAAATCCTTATAGAAGCACTTTATTTTCATAAAATACACCTTTTATAAATATTATATAAATATTATTAAATTCATAATATTCATTTGATTTTGTACCCAAATTCCCTTTTCCTGAAGTAAATGTTCTTGGTATTATACTAATTAAAGTTGGTATCAATGTAACTGAAACTAGTTACCAATTAGTTGATATCCTGTAAGGGTAAATTTCAAAACAGGCTCCATGCCACGTCACCTGATGATGATTGGAGAATTGTTGGTTTAAACATTGTAAACAAAAGATGAAATGTACAGCCAAAATAATGGGAAAGTCTTTACAATCTTTTCCCTTTTGTCATGGGGAAGGACTAATGAGGGTTGATTACCTAATCAGTTTAATCAATCATCCTGTAGATAGGGAGGGCAATGGTGGTGGTGGCAGCATTGAAGCAGATGCGTGGGGGTGGCTAATATCACTTTTGGTAGATAATTACAGACCATTTTCTCTAATGCTTCTAACTTGCTTGACTTAGTTTTTTCAGCATTTGTCTTTATAAAATAAAAGACTATTATGGACTTCCCCCAAAGAAATGAGAATATTTACCATCTTTTGTTTAAATTTTTTTTCTATCTGTTTCACCCCAGGCAAAGCAATAATGTCACTAAGATGCAAGGAGTTACAGGTTATCAAAGAATTAGGAACAGAAACATTAATAATGAGCGGGAAAAGGAAATAGCAATCAGGAGGATAGTAAATAGTGATTGACATTGCATTTAAATTTTTTCAGATTAAAGTTGGCTGGAAAACATGCAGCCAAAAGGGAGTTCCACAAGTGCGAGAAAAGAAAGCCTATGGTTACATCTAGCCAGCTCAACTGTAAATTGCCAAAATCTCGATGCCAGTCTAGTACAGTGCTTAAATTTGAAAAGTCTAGGTACCATAGTGAAGAGCAATATTTATTTGTAATATTTACAAAATGTGGCACAAGGCCAAAATGGGGAATGGGGAAAAGGACGGTCTTCATCTGTCCTAACTTTAAACTTAGCTAGTCACAAACACTGACCTAAACATACCACAATACTCTTAACACCAAAACAGCACATTCTTATTACCTTTCTTACTACATCCACCTAATACCTCATTGTCTCCATGGAAGTCCTAACTAGTCCCCATATGTACAATTCATAGTGAAGAGCTCATCCAAACAATTACCATGAAAGTATTTATAGAAAAGACACAGGGTGGCAACCTTATGGCCATGGGAAAGTGAAATTTTATTTTTATTTATTAGATGCAAAAGAATGATGAATAGTAGAAGTGAACTACCCTCATTCTGTTCGTATTTCATTAGTGAGAAGTTCCACTCTAACAGCTTCTTCCCATGAAAGGCTACTTTGTGGAACTGACTCCTAAGAGGATGCTTTCCCGACCTGACCACTATAATTTTTATCTGTTCATGTCTAGGATTAAACATTATCTCTCCCACATATAAACTTCACCTCTTATCTCTTACTCGTATTACTCACTCAATGAACTCTCAGTAACTCTCTACCTTGAGTAGCTCTTAAGCCTTGTTTAGTGTGAACATTAGTAAAAAAACAAATTACTTCTCCCTACCACAAATATGGGTTAAATGGCAGAGTAGACTGGGCTCTTTAGCCTTGGGTGGTAACTATTTGAAGAAAAGAAAAATTCTGAGTTTCAAGCCATGGAGAAGGAAATAGAAAGCCACTCCACTATCTTTTCCAATAAATCATAGTATTTCACAGATAATAAAGAAAAGGAAACTGTGGCGATCCATGACTGGGGATACACATATAGTTTAACAGTTAAGAATGTAAAAAGTGAAATCAGTGAGCCAAGATCAAATTCACACCTAGTCTGTTGCATTCATTTTCGCACAAATAGTCTTGGAGAAAAGTATGACTCCATCACTTTTTCCACTATAGCTATGGCTTAAATGGCAAGTTAGACTGGGCTTTAAAGCTGTAGTGCCAAAATAAACCTAGCATCAGCAGCAACTCTGGGCTATAAAACAAGCAAAACCTTAAATAGCTTTCTCTTCCTAGTTTTCCTCTTTCGAACAAGGTGATAATAACTTTTTATGCTGAAGCTAAAAGGGCTGTGAATGCTTCACACTAAAACACACAAACACAGTAAGTCCCACTCAAATATATTCATTAACATTTCATTGTGTATGCAATTTACTTCTAAAAGAAACTCTTGTCTTAAACTTTACTTTTGTTGACTTTCTTTAAAAAGTGTCATCTTACATTGCAAATAAATTTCTCTGTTATTTTGTGCATGTACCCTTCCACCAGCTTTATTTCATGTATAACAAAATATTCTTGTACGAAATCTTACACATTAATTATCGAGGTATCCAACATGCTAGAAAGCCTTGACTGGCAACCAGCCTAAAAGAAGGAAAATTCAGAATTTCAAACTATATAAGAGACAACAGAAAATGACTTCATCATCCTCTCTAAGAATACATGGTAATTTACAGAAAATAAAGAAAAGGAATCTGTGGAGAGCCATTATTATCTATGTTCTGAAGAGACATGGCATTTAAAAATGCATGCAAGGTGATCTTGAATGGAACTGAAACTGCAAGAAATAAAAATTCAACATTTAAGAGCAATGATGTTAATAAATAAAGAGTAAGATCTTATTGTAAAATGATTGATTGGCAATCTTATTAAAAATAAAACTAATTAAGAAAACTTGGAAAGAAGTCAGCAAAAACCATTAATGAAGAATAAAGATTTAAACACAGTGTTGTAAAATGATCCAAAAACCTCAGTCAGAGAACTTGAAGCAAACGTTAATTCAAAATTACGGCATACAAGTCAACCTCAAGATTTTTTAGCTCAAAATTCTGAGTTAGGCCTATACTTATGGTATAGGTCAAACCCCAAACAAACAGTAGGCTACCAGTGACACAAAATTTAGGCCTACCAATAAATGTAGTTAGTCTACAGTATATGATAACCTGCACCAAAAGTACATAACATCACACCACTTACTTGTATATTGTGACACTAATCATAATGTATTGCATAGCAAACAATATACAAAACACACTGGTAAGTACTATATATTGTGTTGGTAACTTAGCAAACATTTAAAATTAAGTTCTACTGATAAACACATTAAAGTTAACATCAACTCTTATAAAATATTAATACTGTAAATTACAGGTATTACCAGGTAGTTTTTTTTATAGTATTGCTATGTATCGTATGTTATTGTAAAATACAGTATCACTCATCCGCCATTTGCATCAGTGAGATAAACGGTGCTTCAGTCAGTATTTACACTTAGTGTATCAGATGTTAGATGTGATGAGTTTTGTAGCGTTTAACAGAATACTGAATTTGTGTTACTATTTTATTATTTTATATTCATTATTGTGTTAATATGCTAACTATGTTCACCAAACACAAGTTTTAGTATAATATAGTTGTGTCAGCCTGTTGGATGTCTGGTAAGTGCTATACAGTAATAGTTAGGAGTGCTGCTACCTCTTGTATACAAGTTTCGTTAAAGATGACTGACAAGGTAAATGGTGAAGTAATGGACAGTGGCACAGATTGAGGAATTGGAGAACAAAGTTCGAATGACAGTCGAATCCATTACATTCACTTACATGCTAATACCCTTGGGAAAGGTATAAATCCTCTTCTTCTCCCACCGGCTATGGGTAAATAGCAGGATAGGGCAGGTTATACAGCCTTGGATGGTAATTAGTCTACCACAGAAAGAAATATACCTCGTCAGTCATGTATCAAAAGATACATGATCACCTAAGCATGTATCACGCATGGCAAATAACAGAACTGGTAATGATTTGCATTTAATACCTGCAGCATAACGTTTGTAAAAATCTAGAATCAGGGCCATAAATCAGGGGACATAATTTGCATGCACCAAAAGGAGAGTAATTTTAATACACTGTTGTGTAGGAACCTACCACCCCTCTTGAAGATGAACTCATCTACAAACAAGGACGTTAGATAGTGGCATGTCAAAAGACAGTGTCGAAGAAGTTCTGAGCTGAGTTAGTTATAGACTACTCGGGCGATATCTGTACCTACTTACCAACCGAATAAACCCCATTTTATTGTCACATGTTATTTGGCGTTTGTCTTTATTAACCCCAAATTAACATCATAACAACACTTATGAGCTAAAAGATATCCTGTGTAATTGGTTTTATTTTTAAGTGACAACATTTGCTCGAAGCAAACATTAGTTGACTGATTCAGATTTTGTATGGATGTGTGATGCTATTTCACTGCAAAAAACAACGGTGATAAAATTGGAGGACTGGACAAAATAGTGAGAATTGATAAAAGATTGATTGTAATTAAAAAGAAAATATAAACCCAGCTGAGTGCTTCATCAGCAATGGTTTCTTTGAGGGATTGAAAGAAATTCTGAAGAATTTGCATTATTTCTCTGGTTTGCAGCCATATCATGTTGAAATGCCGGTTCCAATATGATCATCAAAGTTAAGCAACATCAAGCTTAGTCAGTACCTAGATGGGTGACCACTTGTAAATACCAGGTGCTGTAAGCTTGGATGTGTGGGTGGTGTAATGGATAATGGCTTGGAATTGTTAATGTTCCAATTCCAGTTGGATTTGTTATATTCACTTCACGGTATATACCCATTGGAAAGGTATGAATCCATTTTTTCTCTCCCTGCTATGGGTTAATTTAGTATGATTTGTATCACTAAATTCATTTTTAACTAAAAAAAAATTCTTACACTCTAAAAGTAATTTCTGGCTTTAAATAACCTGTAAAGGGTTGATAAACTGTAGAAAATGAAAGGGAGGGCCACAGCACAAGGATGATCCCACTTCCTTAGCCTCATCACTCACATCTTGTTTTTCTTCAGTGGTAGTCCAGTTCATTTATTCTTCTTTAAAAATCTAAAGAAAAAATTGCAAGAAATTATAAGCGAATGCTCCTTTCTGTTTCATGACTAACAAACAAAACTGTAAACAAGCTATCAGACAAGCCCATACAACCTTCAAAATTAGTGATATTAATATGAACTCAGTCTGTTTTCCTGTTTAAAAATAATACTTATGATTGGTTATTGATAAGGATAAAAATAGATATTTGTTTGGCTTGGTTTGTTTTGTAGCATATCAATCTTTTCCAGGTTATTTTGTGGATGTGTGGGTGGTGTAATGGATAGCATGGAATGAGAAATTGAAGAGCCAGATTCAAGTTCTAGTTAGTTTTGTTACATTCAGTTATGTACAAATACAATTGCAAAAGGTATGAATCCATCCTCTCCCTCAACCATGAATTAAATAGTAGGATGTGTATCTGGAAAGATCATTGCTATTATCAAAAAATTATTAACGGAGTATACACTTGCAAGACAGAAAGAATTGTTCTTACAATCCAAAATATGTTTCGGCTTTAAATAACCCATAAAGGGTTGATAGACCATAAAAAAGAAGAAATTATTCTTACAATCCAAAATATGTTTCAGCTTTAAATAATCCACAAAGGGTTGATAAGCCATAAAAATCAAATCTATTAATCAATATTAGGTTACTTAAGGCTGAATTCTGTCATTTTGATCTCTATCTACAAAAGGCAGGATGTGTGTGTGTGTGTGTGTGTGTGTGTGTGTGTGTGTGTGTAACGAATGCACGGCCGCAATTTTCGACGGATTTGCACCAAAATTTACATGCACATGCTCCAAGTTAGCGGGAAGGCCAAGACCGACTTTACATTTCCCAACCCCCATCGATAGTGGGAATAATCGATTTTTTCATGTTTCTACGGCAATTTTCATGTAGTTTGCAGCCATTTTGTACTGGCCAGAGTGAGAGCCAATAGCTGGCTGCCACGAATAGGCAGGAAGATTCTATTGGCCAACGTGAGAGACAACAACTGACTGACACGAATGTTAACTAGCATGCAAAAAATCGATAGCTGCATTCGTCACAAGTGGGAAAAATTTAAATCTGCATGGCACTTTATTCCAATTGGCTCATTCGCTTGCTTAAACTCAACGTTGATTCTGATTCCGCAGAACTGGGTTTGGTGTGAAAAAGTATTTGTTGTTAACATTCTTTTTTCATTCGGTTTTTCCAGTTACGAGTCCTTTTTTTAAAGCTGATCGTTTTGTGTTCATTTTGTTTAGTTCTTTTTTCGTAACAGATTTAATGTTTAGTATAGAGCTTAGAAAAAATTCGCAGTGTGAGATAGGCAAGAATTAAGGCATGTAGCAACATCAGCACGGCAAAGGGCACTCCTTTAAAGGCAAGGAAGGGCAAAAATATTTTAAGTCAAGTGATAACAATTGCTGTATGAGTCGTACGGTTTTTGAATGAAGCATGGGCAACGCCGCGCCATGCTGCTAGTAAGCCATAAATATAAAATCTATTAATCAATATTAGGTTACTTAAGGCTGAATTCTGCCATTTTGATAAACAATAAAAAAAGATAGACATAGTTTTGGTATGCATGAGTGTCAAATGGTAGACATAAGTCTTCTTTGTATAAGAGTCAATAAGTTAAACATAGGTGTGGTTTGCACAAGATTTGAAAAGGGAGACGTAGTTCTGAGTTGAATGAAAGTCAAAAAGTTAGAAATTGGTTTGGCTTGAACTCGAGTCAAAATGGAAGGTATACATTACAGTTCAAAAGTTTGAAGCCACCCCCAGAATTAGCATGGTATGAACTTAGCAGAAGAGTGGAAAAATAATTAAAAAGAGCCCTTAGAGTTATTGAAAAAAGAATGAAATCAATTATCAAACATATACTTTGAGAAACATTTACAATGAATGCCAAAAATTTGTGCTGCAACAATCAAGGCAAAAGGAGGATATTTTGCCTTTTTTCTTTTTATCATAATAAAATTTCTAATAAAAAATCATGTCTAACTTTTTTTTAAAACATGTATAATAATCTCTTATTTAAAGTACAAAACTGCTTTTTGGGCCAATTTTAAAAAAATTATCAGAGATCTCCTCAAATATTTGAACTGTAGTGTAAGTCAGTTTGCATAAGAGTAAAAAAAATAGCCATAGTTTGGTGTCTACAAGAGTCAAAAATGTCTACATAGTTTTGGTTTACACTTGTTGGCCCCTATTTTGTAGTGGGTTTACTACTCTTCAAGGGGATGAAGTTTAGAATATTCTTGATCTCAACAGAAAAGGCAATGAAAAGTATATTTGCACTTAAACACAAGTGATTATAAATTTTGATAAATGTTGTTACACATTGATAACTCAACTATCTTGATTAACTACTGTTATTACAAAAGTTATGATAACAAAGAAATATCAGTGTAGTTGATTACAATGTCTATAATTAATGGCTAGAAATGACCTAAAATGGGACAGCCCTCAACAGCACTTGAAAATATGCTTGAGAGTTTTATAACAAAAAATTAAATAAATAAAAATGAACCTAAAATATTGTACACAATATGTTAAGGCAATATATAATAAGGTAATATTCAATCAATATCTATTTAATTAACAAGATGTGAATGAAAATTGATATATGACTCAAATAAAATTTTTACTTTACTATTAAAATCATTGCATAATTTTTTTAAATAATTCTATTCTTGAAACCCATAAACATACCCCTATACATATATTATGATAGAATAAGGAACAAATAGGAAACGTTTATAAACTTAACATGTTTAACTTTTATTCAAGCTTCATCAGAAATTGAAATATGGAGGGAAAAAGAAAATTCTGGTATTTTTCAGTTTTTTGATGTTTGTTTTTCATTGGTTTTTCATCCAATACAATTTTCAGACCAATGTTCTATCTTCGATATTAAATATTCTTCCTATATAAATATAGCAAATTTTAAACAGTATATATATGCAATTGTAAAGCCAAAGACAACTGTGAATTTGAAAACCATCTTCCCAAAAGAAAATATTAAGTATACATCAGAATTTCTGCTGGGAGTTGGAAACAGAGGTTCTATAACCACAAACATTCATTCTCTGACATTTCCTCAAAACATCAAACTGCTCTATCTAAACATTTCTGGAAACTGAAAGACTAAGGCTTTACCCCACATAGAGAATGGAGCATCATCTGTAAATCACAGACTCCTAACAGGTTCAGAAACCATCTGTACCTGGAAGAGAAAATTAATATATTTCAATACAAAAACTCTGGCCAGTTATTGAACCAAAGGAATGCGATATTATTTAAAAGTCACTATAGAAATAAATTAAGTTATCTTAATAATAGACTTTTATTTAAGTTATATACTGTAAAATATAAAATTATAGATTTATAACTATATGTATATAAGTGTATTTTATATGTACGTGTTTGCTTATTTGTGTGTATATGGATACATATACATACATACATATATATATATATATATATATATATATATATATGTGTGTGTGTGTGTGTGTGTGTGTGTGTGTGTGTGTGTGTGTGTATTTCAATTAATGAGATCCAAACAATTTACTCAATTTTATTCATTTTGGTAAATGTATTTGCATTGATAAGTCCAGGGAAAAACTACTTTCCCATGGACGAAATGATCATTTGTATGGAGTAAATTGTTTGGATGTCATTAATTTCAATTCACTTATATGCTGTATAATAAAAATTATATTGAGCTCTCTTTTTGTACATCAATTTTAATGAGTTTTTTTTTAATAGGATCTACTTAGATTACTTACCCACAGGTTTTTTTTTAACTGTTCTCTCTCTATATATATATGTGTGTATGTGTGTGTGTTTTATATATGTATAAAAATGTAAGTGTATGCATTATTATCTTATTTCATAAATCTTTTTATATCATATAAGTGTATATATGTATGTGTGTATTTATATATATATATATATATATATGTGTGTGTGTGTGTGTGTGTGTGTATATATATGTGTATGTATGTGTGTGTCTATATGTATGTATATGTATGGTTATATGTATATGCGCATATGTGTGTATATATATGTGTGTGCGTATATATATATGTGTGTATGTATGCATGTGCTTATGTATATATATATATGTAAATATATTTTATATAATATTCATTATTTATTTATTTTTATTTTACTATTAAGATTATGATGATATTTAAATGTATAAGAACTTTGATTCATTTAATTCTAAAGAATTAACGGGTTTATTTTTAATCTGACATTTTTTTTACTTTAAACATTTTTACCATGAGTACTTCATATTTCAAATAAGAAGTATCCACTATAATAACATTTGAAGTAATAAAGATATCAGATTAAAAATAAATTATTAATTATTTAGAAATATAATAGGCTGGTGAAAAAAAATTGAAAGATAAAAAAAACAACAAAAATAATATTGGTAATATGACTAATAATATTTATTGCAAATAAATTGGCCAAATGGAAGCATAATGAAAAAGATTTTGAAATTTGGAATTTTCAGACACGCCTGCGTCCTTTATCAATGAGACAAGAACTTAACATAAAATGAAATGGGAGTTTCTTTTCCGGATTTTTTTTTTTTTTTTGCGCATTACCGTAAGAGATCTGATGGTTTTGGTATAATTGTTTGCCATAAT